ACATCAAGAACTCTTACAACTCAACAATAAAAAGACAAACAGCCCAATTAAAATAGACAAAGAATGTGAATAGACATTTCTCAAAAAATGACATACTAATAGAAAGTAAGTACATAAAAAGATGCTCAACATCATTAGGAAATGAAGGAAGTGCAGATCAAAATCACAATGAGATACTACTTCATGGCTAAAATAAAAGAAGACAATAATGAGTATTCACAAGAATGTCAAGAAATTGGAACATACATCTGTTGCTAGTGGGAATGAAAAATGATACAACCACTTTGGAAAATAGTTTGGAAGTTCCTCAAAATGTTAAACATAGAGTCACCATAAGTCCCAGCAATTCCATGCCTAAGTATATACTTGAGAGTGAAAGCATATAGTCACACAAAAACCTGTACACCAATGTTCACAGCAGCACTATCTGTAACAGCCAGAAAGGGGAAACCACCTAAGTGTTGATGAACTGATGAAAGGATAAACAAAATATGGTACATCCAAATAACGGATTCTTCAGTCATAAAAAGAAATGAAACACATTATATATATATACATGCATATATATGAATGAAATATGATACATGCTACTACATGGATGAATCCTGAACAGTATGCTAAGTCAAAGAAGCCAGTCTCAAAAGGCCATATATTGTATGATTCCATTTATATGCAATGTCCAGAGTAGGTAAATCCATAAAAACAAAGTAAATTGTGGTTGCCAGGGACTGGGAGAAGGGGGACAGGGAAAGTGATTGTTAATGAGCATGGGGTTTCCTTTTTAGAGGATGAAAACGTTCTGAAATTAGATAGTGATGATGATCGAACAACTCTGAATATACTAAAAATTACTTAATCATACACTTGAAAAGAGTGAATGTTATGGCATGTGAATTATATCTCAATAAAACTGTTTAAAAAAAATTGTGACCTGGGCCTCCGACAAATTGCAATGACTGATACACATACTATCTATACATTTGCTGAATATCCTGTCATCTCTAGCAAATTAGCTGCAGTTGAAGACAAAAGCAACAAATCACAAAGACTCAGTTTCCTCAATTGTAAAATGTGAATAACAGTACACAATATCTAGAGTGGTGGACGGTTAAAAACCAAGCACTTGCAAGTTTACCACAGTATCTGGCACACAATCTTAAGTTCAGCTATTATCAAACACATGCATATAGACTTCAAATTATCTGTTCTGCACAGAAGTTGCATAATAAGCATGTCTACATTAGCTGAACCTAACCCCATACTTTTGATTTCAAGTTTCACTTATTATTCACTGAGAGCTTGTTACATGCTCAGCAAGATTACAACGGTCAGCATGACATAGTTCCGCCCTTAAGGTGCTCACTGCCTAGTGGTATGACAACAGTATTTAATAAAATGTTCCCATCTACCTAAAACTAGTTAACCACCTCTGTTCTGCATCCCTTGGAATGGTCAAAATTCAAGAAGAAATAGTATACAAGAACCCAGTGTCCAAGTACTGCATACGCTTTTAGCAATTTGGATACAATGGGGGAAGAGTTAGAGCAAAAAGTGTTAACTATCAGACCTGTTAGTACTCCCCACAAAGGATTCAGAACAGGTGAAGCTGGAACAAGTTTAAATGTGCATATTGCTTAGAATAGTTACTATTAGTAATAAGTATATTTACCTAAGATGAGGGATTTAAACTCCTCTTTTAATATTAAAGTCACTGTTTTTTGAACATTAAAAGAAAGGGAACGGTTGCTAGGAGCTGGAGGAAGTGGGTAAAGGAAGTTACCGTTTAATGGGGACAGTTTCAGTATGAGAAGATGAAAAAGTCTGGAGACGGATGGTGAGGACGGTTGCACAACAATGTGAATGTACTAATGTCATGGAACTGTACACTTAAGTGGTTAAAATGGTAAACTTTATATTATGTGTATTTTACCACAATATAAACAAATAAAATAAGAAAGGGATACTCCAGAAGACTGGAAATCTTAGGTCACATACACTATCGATCAATCGTTATTTGTCCTTCCTAAACTATCAAATGCAATGTACAAAACACTACATACAGGGAATAGAATTTCACAGTGGGCAAGAAAAATCAGATCAGGGTTATAACCAAACATTGCCACTGTGAGATCTATGTACTGGGCAAATTAACAAATTATATAAAATTTGCCTAACATCCTAAAAAAGGGCAGGAAAGTTTGGCAGTATTGAAAACTGAAAAGAGGGCTGTATGGCTAGAGCACAGGGAGTGGCATATGATGAAATCACAGAAGCAAGCAGGAGCTACACTACTCAAGGTCTTTTTTATATTTCAGGTGTAATGGGAAAGCCACCGTAGGTTTTTAGCAGGTGACTAACAACATGACTTTGAGGAAACCACTCTAGCTGCTGTGCAGAGAACAGACTGGAAGATGACGACAAAAGAAGCCACAGCCTGGTTAGAACACAATGACAGTGCGTGTTGAGGTGATGGTGGAACTTGTGTGGGGACTGCGGAAACAGAAGTTCACAAATTTGGTGTGTTTTGGAGACAGAATCAACTGGTCTTAGACAATGAGAGAGGGAAGAATCAAGATGACTCTCAAGTTTCTCTAGTTATGTAGGTGGTTAGAGTGACTTACTGAGATAGGAGAGACTGGGGAGATCCAAGATTCAGAGGAAAAGAGAAATCAAAACTACTAGCACTGAGGAGAAGCTGGCCTTAGTTTATTTCTCCCAAAGGGAAGATGCCTTCAGGATAAAGACTAGTTTCCTCCGACACTGTTTACCACTGCCATCTACTGATGCAAACTAAGGATCAACACTTTGGGGGTAATTTCTCAAGGTTTTCAAACAGACTCAATACATTGAAAGCCTAACTAGCATAAAAATTCTTAATTTGAGAAGCTGAAGAGTATATCACCAGATTAAGGTGGAAATAGAAAACATGCAAAGTCCAACAGGATCTTGTACACATATTTAGGCAACATTATCTGCAACCACACCTACCATGTATGTATTTGTGGAAAGACAAGCTATCTTCCTGTGATGTTTCCTTCCTCAGTTACCAGCACCACCATCACTCACCTCCACTTGAAATCCCACCAGTATCTCTGATTCTACATCCTACTCCTAACCATTCCCATATACATTCGGTGATCAAAACTCATGCTTTGCATCTAAATCTGAAGCTCCCTTTTCAAACTATACATGACCACAATTCCAAGCCCAAGGGAGATTCAGAGTTAAGATTTTGGGTTGAGACCTGGTAAAAACTTTTTAAAGAGTGCCCCCAGATAATTCTGATGTGCACCCTGCTTAAGAACCACTCTTTATAAACTCAAAATTTTTCTCTCATTCTTCTTTTTAAAAGATTTATTTTTCCTTTTTTTCCCAAAGCCCCCCGGTACACAGTTGTGTATTTTTAGTTGTGGGTCCTTCTAGTTGTGGCAAGTGGGACGCTGCCTCAGTGTGGCCTGATGAGCGGTGCCATGTCTGCGCCCAGGATTCGAACCAGTGAAACCCTGGGCCACCACAGCAGAGTGCGAGAACTTAACCACTCAGCCACGGGGCTGGCCCCCAGAATTCCCTTTCTAACTCATATTTTGCTATAAAAATCCATTGTGACAAATGGTAAAATCTGAATAAGGTCTGTATATTAGATAACAGTATTGTATCAATTTCTTGATTTTGATAATTATACTGGAGTTATATTAAGAGAATGCCCTTGATTTTATAAAATAAACACTCAAGTATTTAGGAGTAAAGTGGCACTATGCCTGCAACTTAACCTCAAACAGTTCAGACAAAAATGTGTGAATGTACAGATACAGACTTAAAGGGGATAATGCACATGTGATAAAATGTTAACATTTGGAGAATCTGGGTAAAGGCTATATGAGAACTCTCACAATTTTTTGCAACTTTTAAGTCTGAAATTATGTCAAAATAAGTTAAAAAAAAAATCAAATGGCCAAAATACTTCATTGAGAGTTGTACTTTTGTTAACACTATTAAGTAAGCTATTGGGTCAATTACACACAGTTTGCAGTCCTAAGTAATAAACGTGTGGATACACAGGCAACAACATTCTTTTTCTGGACGAATAATAACAAAAATTATGGATGAGAGAATACCTATAACAAGGCAATTTCCTATCAGAGGTCAACACTGTAGGGGATAGGCCAAGAGAAGCGCTCTGAATTCTCACCATTAAAATGAGTAAGACAATAAAGACAAAGCATACTTTCCCCACAAGTCAGTGTAAAACAATTCACAAAAAGAAAACAAGTAAAAAGTATGCTGAGCTTAGGAGGGTGTGAAAAAGAAAAACCATGCTGATTCGAATTGCCCAATGTAACGACTCTCCAGCAAAAAGACTAGACTGTTCTGACTGGTTGCAGAGACATTTGGGGCGGCCTGAAACATGGCACTGATCTAGAGCAATGAAAATACAGACCCCTTGGAGATCTGTGGAGAGCTCTGGCCTTGCAGTGGATTTACAAACTCTTTGAAGCCCATCCAAAGAGCCCAGGCTAAGACCCCTGGCTCAGTGTTACGTAAAAGTATTTTTAAGCAGATTTAGATGCACAAAATTACCCTTCAACAACTTAGTTTGACGGTTACAAGGATGACAACATTTGCGACAAGAACTGAAACAGGAAAAACTACATAGTCATTAACTAGTATTCTAACAAACTGCTCACTACAACTAACTGTCAAATCAAGATTAAGTTCATTATTTCACCAGCATTAGTGTTCTACAATGTACCAAAAGTAATAGGCACAATAATTCAAAACATCTCGTTTTAAAAAAAAAAAAACCTCAATGACATGGAGGTGCCAAACACTTTAAGAAATAATTTTACGGAAAACCATATTTGTTTGGATGGCATGAAAATCTGTTACTATAATTGATATACATGAGCACAATTTTTAAAACATTTATTTATGAGCCTTGAGAAAAGAACTGTATTCAGATATACAATCTAGAATAAAAGAAAATGATAAACTCAACTCACCAGCAATTTCTACAATATCACCAGGAACTATGTCCTTAGCTTTAATCCGCTGTACACTCTTTCTGTCCTGTCGATATACCTTGCCCATTTCAGGCTCATACTCCTTAAGGGCTTCGATTGCATTTTCAGCATTTCTTTCCTGTAAAAAAGAAAAAAGAAGGTAAAAGTAGTTAACATATGCCTGCCACTGCAAGTATTTCTAGCCCAAGGAATTAAACCGTAGAGTTCTAATCTAAATAAATAAATAAATAAATAAATAAATAAAAAAGACAAAAGAGAAGCAGGTCAATGGCATTTATAGTAAACAATTCACATCTTTGTTGATAAACACTAAGCTCTCATGATTTTTTATTAAAAACTAAAAAATAAGCACCCTAAGAAGGGTAAGGGGATAAAATCGTAATGGGAAAAAGCAGTTACAGAATCTGCTGTCCTTAAGCACGCTGTGAAACATGCCATCACCTCCAGCCACACCCATACCATTTAAATCGATCCTGTCTCATGTGAAAGACGATGGCCTGGGCCTGCTGCCTGGGTTCATTTAGGCTTTTCCACTCATCAGCTACGTGATCGTGGATAAGTTACTGCTTACAAAACCAAGTTTACTGCCTACAAAACCAGGACAGTAATAGCACCTAAACTTCAAGTGTTGTGAAGATTTACAAGCTATATGTAAAATGCTTAGACTGTTCTGGCACATAGTAAATGCTGCGAGTGATGAATTAAAATCAGGTTAATCTCACAAACTCTAAGAAATCTCTCTCCAGTGGTAATGACCAACAAATAGCTGGAATATCATCACAGGACTGCCAGTCACATGCCATGTTTACCATAATACGATATACAAACATATCAAGACTCAGCCACACAGGTTTTCTTTCCTAATTTCAAGATGAAAGATGTAGAACCCAAATGAGTCATGTTGCGGGGAGGGGGAAGCTATAGCAAAGTTCTTTTAAGGAAAACAAGAAACAAAGAAAAGCTCATATGACAAATTTGTCTTCTCTCCTTTTAGAGAGTAAACAATTAGAAGTCAAGGAGCGGGGGCTGGCCCTATGGCGAAGTGGTTAAGTTTGCACACTCCACTTTGGTGGCCCAGGGTTTCACCAGCTCGGATCCTGGGCATGGACATGGCACCTCTCATCAAGCCATGTTGAGGTGGCGTCCCACATAACAGAACCAGAAGGACCTACAACTAGAATATACACAACTGTGATACTGGGGGGCTTTGCAGAGAACAAAAAGAAGAAGAAAAAAGATGTCAAGGGGTGAATCTACGAAGTGCACGCCCAGGTGAGGTTACTCAATGGACAAAGGAAAGGATTCTTTTATTTCTCACATTTTTGCCTTCCAATCTGAAGCTCTTCAATTTAACCTCTACTTGAACAGAATACAAACGCAGTACCATGTGATCTCATTTCTCACCTTGTTGTAAGAGTATTAGTCTGTTGTGAAAAATCTCTAGACCTGCTTAAAGAGAACTTAGATGACACAAACCTGAAAGCTAACAGCATGTGTGTCTCACGTTTTGTGTATGCATCCCTGAAAGAGTCTAGGAAACCTTAAATTTTGGAAATTCATAATAGTAATTTTAATCCCCTATCAGATCTGCTGAAAGAATGAGCATATCTGCATCACTTTATAATTAACAGCAATGTTAGGATATTTAACCTTAATTAATGTTACTCCTAAAGGTCCTTCATATTAAGTTCAAATGTTACTGATTGTGGAAAGAACAAATTCTGAGTGTTGTTGCCATTCAGTTAATCAAATTTGAAACCACTTTCTGCACAGGACTCCCCCTCCCCCGCCCAATTTATGAATTATGGCAGTCTTATTTCCTTTCTCCTTCAAGTCATGTCAGACAGTTCATAACTGGATGCTCAAGGTTAAGGAGACATCCCAGGAGCAGTCTATTTGGCTCCTACTAAAAACTAACAACGGTCCATTTAAATTAGAAGCACAAACTTACAAGATAAATTCTCTCAGATACCAAGGACAAGGATGCCAATTAAAATCACTTAACAGCCCTCCCTCTAACTCAAACTATCAAAAGGAACATTAAGAGTGTAGGGGGTGGGAAAGGGAAGCGAACGATCATAGATTCCAATAGGTTACATCAAAAATACGTCAACTCAGGGAAATATAAGTATGCCTAACTTACTATCAACAAAAGCATAACTTAGAGGACCTTCTAAGGTTTCCTTTGTTCTAACAGTTCGAAACTTCCACCTCCTCCACTCAAACCAAAATTGCTCACCTTGTACCTTTCCACTCATGCCACTCCCTCTCTGGAATATTCTCCCCAGCCTTCACACACAAAACTCTATTTCTCTATAGTTCCCAACGGCTTGTCACCTTCTTTTAAAATCTTTACTTGATAACACTGATCATAAACATGTGCCCACCCCACTCCCAATACTACCTTACAAAATAACTATCATTTCCCTTACTTCCAGAAGGCAAGAACCTTTCAGTATTGTCCATTCTATTCTGTATACTACATAAATAGGATTAAAACCTAAGAATTTTTTTTTTTAAATTAAGACATTATAAAAGTCCTGCGAAAACTGCTGTAAAATTTTACTTTGGAATTCAGATCAGCCTAGGCCTGGATTCAAAACTCAGATACTCTATGAGCTACCTGTATGACCTTTGATAAGTCACTTAATCACTCTGAAGCTCAATGTCACCATCTGTCAAATGGGAATATCACCTGCCTTATAAGATCACTGTAAAGATGAAATGGGAATGTACATGAAGTATCTACCACATAACTAGCATAAATTTAATTAAAAAATACATAAGACTAGTTTGAAAAGAACAATCTACTGCTGTGTATTGTTTCTTTTGCCTAAATTATTCACAAGAGGACCATTTCTAATTAAATATAAGCAAATTTCTTACAAAAAAATCAAAATAGGAATACAGCACAATTAAAATTTTCTTCTAAGTAGGCCATTTTTCCATATAAGCCCACCACGAAGATCTTCAGGGTTTATTAATAAGGTCAGAAGATAACAATTTCAACAGGATTATGTTTATAAGATGTTTCCACATTAAGAACGATAGATGCACTCAATTTTAGTCCTCAAAGGGGTAACTATATCCATCAGAAACCTAAAAGATCAGTACTTAAAATGAATCTGAAGTATAGTCTCAAAGTCTGTTAAAACATTTTCAAAAAAATCAAATAGATCAACAGTCCTAGAAAAGTTCTGGGTATCTGCAGATATGTGAATGGGCAGTGGGAGGGAGGAATTCCATTATGTTTCTGTAGTAAATTAGCTTCCATTCTGTAAGTAAGAGAGGCCTGGACAATTGAGGGAAGACAGCCAGGAATATGTCTAAAGGGAAAACAATTTAGGATTTAAACAATTTCTATAGTTAAACCCATCCACCCACAGGAAAAAATCTAAGGAGAATAAAAATGACATTGAGTTCACAAAGTTTTTCACAGGAAGCAGCTAGGAAACATCAAGACAGATACTGGCTCTCAAATTTTCTGGTTTTCCTTAAGTAGCTTCTCTCATTCAATGTTCTTAACTCCTTGCTACCATGAAGGATGAGCAATTTTAACAGCAGAGTATATATGCATGAGAAGTCTAAAATTTTGCCATTAAATAAACTAACGGGAAAACCCCCCAAAACACACATAGACATTCTAGAGATACTTTTAGTCAACACATCGGGAAAAATAGGTAACAGAAAGGTTAACTTAGTTTAAATCATTTACATAAACTACTAAATTTAGCACTGTAGGAATTTTTGCTTACCTGCCATACACCCACAATTGCATTTGCTACTAATATAAGTAAAATTACAAAGGGTTCTACAAAGGCTGTAATTGTTTCTTCACCTTCTTCAAACCAAGCCAAAACCTAAAAGAGAAATGGCATGTGTTAGAATTGTAATTTGTTTTTAGGCTCAGTGTTACTATAACAGAAGTGGCTTGCACTAAAGGAATTATGATATAAAAAATCTCTTTTCTTACCATCCCTGGAAACAAATGGTGGCAAAATGTAACAACATAAATAACCAGCTTATGTCTTGTTCATAATAATTCTTCAGAATCAAAACTATACAACTTCTTAACAATACCCTTAAGAGCTAATTTATTTTTTCATGTAACAATTCCGTTTCAAAATTCAAATAAAATACTTTTGGGGAAATAAATCCCATTCATTTTATATGTATATATTCAGAAGAAAGAAAACTTAAATTCTTGATTTTGTTAAAGGTGATCATCAACAACTTGGATGATTTGGTTAATACCTGTATCAAACAATATCCATGTGGCACAAATTCATAGTAAAAATAACGATCACTGACTCAAAATTTTAGAGTATATAAACTTAATGCACCACTTATTTTCAGCAGCATTGCTGAAGGTCATCTCAGAACTACTGCAAGGTTGTTCCACAATCAGGAATGTATCTTGAAGGTGATCCTCCATATGACATCTAGTACAGTAATACAGAACTTTAGAGATGACATAAGTCCAAAAATGTTATAACTGGACACAGAACACTGCCCCAAGAAAAATGAGCAGAGAAATCCTGGCTCAGACAACCCTATCTTTAAGATTTAAAAGCTGCAAGTTAAGAGAGCCACACTGTACTTCCTAAATAAGCAACCCTAAGGTGGTAAGAGAGAATCCAACACAATGAATCTCAAAATAATAATCAAGAATATAGTAAGAGAGTCATCTAAATGGTTAAAAATGTAACAACCAATTTTTGTGGAAAACTGCCAATCCAGAAAAGACGTTAAACATATCTAATGAGTCAATCTTACAGTTAAGATTTGCCTTTGTTTTTTCACATTGCCTAAAATGTTTGCATATTTCACAACAGAACCTTTCCTTTAAAAGATCTATTTGGCAAACAATGAAAGAACTGTTTTTGATACTTTTTAATATTGTCAGATATGATTTCTGTTAATAATGAAACCATCGACTTTTGTACTTAGTGGAATACTATATAAATACTGTTTGTACTCAGTGGAATATTATAAAGTGAGCTTTTACACAAATAGCAAATAACCAGAAAGATGCTTAAGGCAAGGCCCAAGATAAATTTTCCAAGTAAAAGAAGGTAATGATGAATTAACAAGAAATAGCAATTTGAGCAGGAAAGACCCAGGAGACACCAGGAGCAGGTCCTGATAGATGCCAATCACCACTGACAGCTAATAAGTCTGGGTAGGCAGAAAACCAGAATGAATATAAATGTTGCTGCAAGCTTTCAACAGGGAATTCCTGGTGTTAAGGTCAGGCCTAATGCCAGAATAAAAACTTCTCTAGGAAGTTATAAATTTTGATAGATGCAAGATCACAGCTGTTTTGATACTAGACTTTCAAACATTTGCCAAAGAGAGCATATCAGAAATAAGAAACTTAATTAGCTCTTGGGGGAGAAAAAATGCTCAACTGAAGAGTAACTAGGACCTTTCCAAAAGGTCAGTGAGGCATTAGCAATTTAAGATAAGCTTCACACCTTGTTAAAGGGGGTATGAATTTCCCTCTTGGCAGCTAGGCCTGAGGAACAAACAACGCAATATCCCCTAACAGCTGGAGCAAAGGAAAAGGCTAAGGCAAGCAGTGACAGGATTATCAGAGTAAACCTCTACTTTTTAAGAAATGTGTGGTCTCTTTGCACAAGTGGTATTCGTTAATAATGTAGTAATCCTAATCTGTACAATGCAGTCGCCATTCCTTCCACTACATGACTTTAAATGTTTAGGTGTAACAAGCAAGCATTCATAGTTATTTGAAGTTTCTACCGATATACCAATTACTGCCTGAAGAGAAACCAGGGGCAAATCTCTTAGCACGGAAGGATGGTGCTGAACCTGTTTAAAATTAACAACCAACAATTTCCTGAACACTTCTGAAAAATGTCTATTTTGAAACCACAAAAAACCCAAAGAACTGAATGCTACAGCCCAAAATAAAGATCAATCATATTTCATTAACTGGTAAGAACCAACCCAGCCAATCATGTTCAAATCACACTGTGCAGTCCTTCATGGTTTTGTTCTACCGAAAAGAAAACCTCTCCTGTGAAGGGAGGAAGATGATGCTGACAAATCAAAGACTCCACAAGATGGGGAAGGGGACAGAGGAAAATTAGATGAGTGACACATTATTACTGAAAAGCAAGATGCCTTATTGGCATTATAGTGCAGTCAGTTCATAATTATGGTTTACCAGAAGTTATACAAAATATATTCACACAGGAGAGGGGGGAAATGTTTCTAAAATAGAGAATAGGTTGAACACAAAGGATTATGTTTGGATTGCCTTTTGTTCACTGTGGTATCCTCAAGGGCCTAGAAGAGTCTCTGGTACACAGTTGATGCTCACTACATATTTATTGAATAGATCATGAATGAATGAAACAAAATCTCATACACGGTACAAGACCCTAAGTGGCAGTACATGAATTTAAACATTAAGACAGCAAAAAGGTAACCAACTGCGCATCAACATCAAAGGAAAGTGGAAGAAAAGGCTACTGCAGTATAATTTGGGGATAACAGTGTTTCTTCTTCCCATTACTTTGCAATATTAATCTATTAACATTACTTGTCTTCCGGGGCTTATATTCTCCAGCAAGTTCAAAGTTTCAAACTTGCCAATCCTATTCAAAGTAATCACTTGCTAACGAACCCTCAACTACAATTTAAACTGCTTAAACAAGGTAGCAGTTTATCTTCTAATTTCTATCTGTAAGACTGGTCTCTGGTTCAGCACAGTAAAAATTCTGACAGGACAGCCAAAAGATGCTGGAAAGCAGAGTTTAATGAATAAAGTAAATTTTAATCCAAGGTAAAAAGGCATGTTCCGGTATAAACTGGGAGACAATCCTGGTACTGTGAGTCAGTTATCTTATCTACATGTTGGGATAATGTGCTGAGCTATTACTGAGAGAATAAAAAGAAAATGAGAGCAATCACAAGCACATTTTTAAGACACAGGGCCTGGGCTGCAGTCCTCCTTGTATCCTTAGAAACTTGCGATGCCTTTGGGCACTCAAACACTTGTTCAATAATGAATGAAGAAATTTACATCAAAAAAATTTTTTTAAAGAGGAAATGGAAATTAGGCTTTTCGCAAGAATGAAAAAAGCATCACAAGTGTTACGGCAATTTTCTGGGGTGGGAAACAAATACAACCATTAAAAAAAATTCTATGAATTAGACTACATTCTTTTCTGATTCAGACACAAAGCTTATGTAGAAACATTTTTCAATGTTTTCAGATTTGAGAATACAATCTTCTTTAAAACAAGGGGCTGGCCCGGTGGCGCAGCGGTTAAGCTTGCACGTTTCGCTTCTCGGCGGCCTGGGGCTCGCTGGTTCGGATCCCGGGTGCGGACATGGCACCACTTGGCACCCTATGCTGTGGTAGGCGTCCCACATATAAAGTAGAGGAAGATGGGCACGGATGTGAGCTAGGGCCAGGCTTCCTCAGCAAAAAAAGAGGAGGACTGGCAGTAGTTAGCTCAGGGCTAATCTTCCTCAAAACAACAACAAAAAACCCCGGCACCTGTCTTCTCCTCTCAAGCCATATTTTAAAGACTCTAAATAAATCAGTTAAACCAATCAGTAAACTACCCATTTTATGCAACTCCCCCCCTTTTTTTTTTGCTGAGAAAGATTTGCCCTTAGCTAACATCTGTTGCCAATCTTCCTCTGTTTTCTATGTGAGCCGCCACAAGCACAGCTGAGCACAGCTGCTGAGAGGAGTGATGTAGGTCTGTGCCCAGGAATCAAACCCAGGCCACTGAACAAGAGTGTGCCAAATTTAACCACTAGGCCACCCCCTCCTTTTGTTTGTTTTTTGCTGAGGAAGATTTGCCCTGAGCTAACATCTGTGCCAATCTTCCTCCATTTTTTTCCATGTGGGACACCTCCACAGCACAGCTGGTGAGGGGGGAAGGTCCACACCCAGGATCTGAACCCACAAACACAGGCCGCTGAAGTGGAACGCGCAGAACTTTAACCACTCAGCTCTGGGGCCAGGCCCCATTTTATCCTTTTCTTATTTTTTATTTTTATTTTTTTTTAAAGATTTTATTTTTTTCCTTTTTCTCCCCAAAGCCCCCCAGTACATAGCTGTATATTCTTTGTTGTGGGTCCTTCTAGTTGTGGCATGCAGGACACTGCCTCAGCGTGGTTTGATGAGCAGTGCCATGTCCGTGCCCAGGATTTGAACCAACGAAACACTGGGCCGCCTGCAGCAGAGCGCGCGAACTTAACCACTCGGCCACGGGGCCAGCCCCCTATCCTTTTTTTAAAATACGAAATTAAGTCACTACATAACACGTTACCAAATACTTCTTGAATATATTCTTCTGAGAAAACCAAAGTAAATGGAGCTCATATTTTGAAAATGCTACCAACACAAACTCATCCAAATATCTGTTATATCAAACGCAATAACCTAGGCTCCTAAAGCAATTAAGAATCCCTTTAAAAGGTCCAATAAGAAAAGACAAATTATTTACATGGAAGTGAATAGTTGAGAAGTGCCTTGGTCTAAGAAAGTTTTATTAGCATTTTACAGTCAACTTAAGTAGCTGAGGTAGGGAAATGGGGGTGGAGGGTAGAGAAACTTATCCAAATTGTGATACCAGAGGACTTCACGATTCAGACAGAGAAGAGAAATATGGTCCTCATGCTCACCTCCTCAAGGTCTTTTGTCAAATGTCACCTTCTTAGAGGCCTTTCTGACTCTATTTGAAAACTGTACTCCCCTCCCCATACTCCCTTATTCCACCACCAACCACCACTCTCCTCCACTTTATTTTTCTCCACAGTGCATCACCGTCCAACAGATTATTATATATTTTGCTTGTTTATTATCTGTCTCCACTAGAATGTCGGCTCCAGGTAAGAGATTTTATTTATTTTGCTGGATGCAGTATCCCCAGTGTCTGTGCCATGTACCAAGTGCTCAATAAGTACCTAATGAAGCAATGAAAAAGAGGAAAGGACAAGCATTCCAGTTAAGCAAGTACATGATGTGTTATACGAAGAGCAAATTTGGTGAGCAAGGAGGATAGGAAGACAACGCAAAAGGAAAGAAGCTCCTGAAGGTCAAATTAAGGAATTTCTAATGTTACTTCATAAGTGAAGGGAGACACTTCTTCCAAACCAGATGACTTAAAAAAAAAAAAAAAATTTTTTTTAAATGTGCAGAAGATCTGAACAGACATTTTTCCAAAGAAGATATACAGATGGGCAACAGGCACATGAAAAGATGTTCAACATCATTAAATTATTAGGGAAGTGCAAATCAAAACCACAGTGAAACATTACCTCATACCCATCAGAATGGCTACTATTAAAGAGACAAGAAATAAGTGTCGGAGAGGATATGGAGAAAACAGACCCCTTGTACACCACTGGTGGTAATGTAAACTGATGCAGCCACTATGGGAAGGAGTATGGAGGTTCCTCAAAAAATTGAGAATAGAACTACCATATGATCAAGCTATTCCACTTCTGGGTATTTATCCAAAGAATATGAGAATACTAATTCAAATAGGTATATGCACCACTATGTTCATTGCAACATCATTCACAATAGCCAAGACATGGAAACAACCTAGGTGCCCAGTGATGGATGAATGGATAAAGATGTATAAACACACACGCACGCGCGTGCGCACACACACAGACAGGACTACTACTCAGCCTTAAAAAAAGAGGAAATCTTGCCACTGCGACATGGATGGATCTTGGGGGTATTATGCTAAGTGAAATAAGTCAGATGGAGAAAGACAAATATCTTATGATTTCATTCATATGTAGAGGATTAAAAAAAAAAAAAAACCCAGACAAACACATACAGAGAACAGATTTGTGGTTACCACAGGGGAAGAGGGGTGAGGGGAGGGTGAAAGACGTAAAGGGGGACATTTTACAGTGAAGGATGGAAACTAGAGTTTTGGGGGTAAACATGATGTACTGTACAAAGAAGCTGAATTCTAACGACGCACGCCTGAAATCTACATAATGTTATAAACCAATGTTACCTCAATTAAAAAAACCTATTTGGGTGAATATTACAATATTTAATTACAAGTTAATTAAACTTTATCCCCACAGGCCACAAGTGTAAAACATTAATGCAGTTTCCTACTTTCTGCCACTGCAAAATATTAACTGTGGTTAACAGTTTACTACTTAGTTTGACATTTGAACTAAATCACTAAAGCCTAATATTTCTTTTTAACTTGAGCAAAACTTGATGATATATCATGTACATATAAGAACTGCCTACTCACTTCTCCAAAATAACATGAATATTCCCCCATATTTCTCTGGTTAAACTAATAGAAATAAATTGACTACACCAAAAGACTCAGTGCTCTTTCAAAAGATAAAGAAATGAAAAGGTCAAGTACACAGTAGGAGCAGTGCCAAGCCCAGGTGAAGAAAATCAACAGGTTTTATATCCGCACTCTTGATCAAACAACTCAAGCAAATTAAGTAACAGTATTTCTAAACATTTATTATTTTTCTGTTTAGCAACCCATAGAGTAAAAATGTAACATAGTTCATTTCCCAAATAATAACTCCAAGTAGTTGCACCAAAAAGGTATCTCAAACTGCAACTCCAAAATACAGCTCTATAAAAACTACAGAAAACCAACATCCTACCTTCTAACAAAACGAAAGCATTCAAAACCCATTTGAAAATGCCTAGAAACTAACTCCTTACTTCAAAGTAAAAATCACACGCATCATTAATTCAAAATATTAATATAAAGTCAAACTGGCCCCTCAAGAGATCCTATACAACTCAAGCAGTCAATAGCTTGTTTATTGGAAATAATGCACTGATGTCACAACACACACAGAATAACTCAAAAATTTATTTTATCTCTGACTTGTACTCATCAGCTGATTAACTTCTAGGAGGTCCCTGATGACCTTAATGAACCCCAGTTATTTTAACTACTAAAGCTGAGACTATTTCAGAATTACATAGCCAGCTTAAACATACTAGCCCAAATATATCATTTGTTTGGCCCCATGACAATCTATTGAAACTAGTTAACCCAACGGCGGCTCTACTCTTAATTGGTAAAGCAGCAGCCATTTCCGGGGGGGTTGGGAAGTTGGGGGTGGGGTGTAAATCAAGAAAAGAGACATGTAAGAGATATGGAGTGATTAATCCAGGATGCTGAATGGTTTGCTATGACACTCTCTTAATTTTATGCAACGAAAACCATACAAAAGATTTGTGGACTGAATTATTAATGGCTGCACATCATTTGGCTAACATGGCACAATATATTAAAGTCTCAAGCGTAATTTGTGTAAATTACTCCAAAAATTACTCCAAAAAAGTTCGTCTGTTGCCAATTTTTTTCCCCTCACCTAAAGAAATGCCCACTGCTTCGAATAGTTAGTCGTCAAAAGAGCCCTCCATGGTGGTCATAAAGACTGACGCAAGCCCTGGGGCTTGTATACGTACAAACATAGAAAAACGAAACCTTGAAGCTATGTCAACTTTGCCAGGCCTGAAAAAAGTACTGCACTGGGTGAATTTCACTTCCCAGAATGGTTTTATAATAATATGCTGTAATTTAAGAACAAAAGATAATTTAAGAACAAAAGGCATCTCACACTGTTAGGATTAGGAACATCTGTGTCCTATTCATGACCACTTTAAGAAAAACTACCAAGAAATCCACTGCCCAACAAAAAATGCCATAAAAAATTAATATGGAACAACAAAAAAATATTAATACCGTGGAAATATCCTCATCAACCCCCATTCACCTTTCTTCCATAGCTCTTTGCATTTCACCAGTTTCTTAGCAACCATATAGGACTCAAGCAGGTAAGCACATACAAAACAAGAAAAACACTATAGGTTTTTTTTTTCTTTTAAGATCTAGAACCAACATACTGAACCTTATTCTCTCAAGCTAGGAGTCACTCAAGACAGGGGTCTAATTTAGATAAATATACCACCCTAAAGGTCAGTGACCAAATTTGGTCAACAGTGGTGCCATCACTGCTGTCATCATTCTTGTCACTGTCAGAAACAACTGTCACCTTGCCATTACCAGGAAGGGAGAGCAACTGCAATATTCCTTTTGTAAGTTCTATTTACAGACTACGAAGAGCCTAACATCATGTCAGTAGGATCTTACACAATGGAAGAACCCAAAACAGAAAAGGCCTTCCGATAAAGAACTTTTTGATATTAAAACCTGATAAACCACAAGAATTTAGAAGACCCTGCTGCCTTCAGGAACTGTTTCCAACTGCACCGTAAACGTCAGGCATCCATTTATCTTCTGTACACGAACGGCTTCAAGTGTTTTATTTATAATTTTAAAATACTTAAGTTTAAAAAGAAAAAAAGCATGGAGACCCGGCTTAAACCTGCAAATACAATGTTCTCATCCAATAGACATTACTTTCCCCGCTTTTCATCTATGGAACGGTCCCAACTTTTTGGAGACAAAATAAATTTCTTTATACTTACAAAAGATATACATGCTGCCAGCAATAAAATTCTAACTAGTAAGTCTTCAAACTGCTCAATCACAAGTTCCAGCAAGGTTTTCCCTGTTAGAAACAAACATCTGTTGTAAACGTCATCTTAACATCAGCACAAAGCGGGGGAAGAACACGTTCAGATCGCTCACCTTCTTCAGCCGGTAACTCTGCAGGATGTAGAAATTCGCCAGGCAACGTGTCCAGAGGGGGGGGAAAAAAACACGTTAGCACTCTATCTTTCTAAAAAGAATTCCTAAAATCATCGCTGTCTTTGAAAGACACACCTAGACAGATGACTTTCAACCATTTTTAATGGAAACCATGCTAAAATGGTACCCCGAGAAAATATGCAATACTCGTCGTAACCCACGGCCTCAGGTCTACCCCGAAGCGTAAGGTGTCATGGCCACGCAAACGGGGCTCCGGAACTAGGAGTCGTCCCAGGCCTGTCACTCCTGCCACCGTAGCTCCGGGCAGCACGGGCGCGCTCGGCGGCATTCTCAACTGCAGCGACGCCTCGTAAACCGGCGGGCGACGACCCGGCCGCGGAGACGCGTCCCTCCCTCCCCGGCCGGCGGCTGCCGGTGCGAAGCCGTCGAGGCGGAGGCGAGCGGGGTCCCCGGTCCCGTCCAGGGGGCCCCCGCGGGGGCCGAGAAGGGGGCGGCCCCGGCCCGACGCCCCCGCCTGCAGCCCCTCTCCCGCGGGGCCGGCGCGGGCTCCCCGCCGCCTGCAGCCCCGGCGGGCGCGGAGCCGAGCCCCACGAGGTGGAGCCCGGTCAGCCATCTTCCCTGGCTCTCAGGCCCGCGCCCGGCCGCGCGGGGCCCCGCAGCCCGGCGCCGGGCACCTACCGTTGGAGCCCCATCTCTCCTTGAGCTTCTTGACCTGCTCCAGGCTCAGCCCCGTGCTCTCGTTGACGCCGAAGTGGCCCAGCACCTCCTCCACCGTCTTTGTGTGCGCGTTCTCCATGGCTGCGGGGGCCCGGCCGGCCTCGCCTCCCGTGCCCGCGGCCTCCTGGCCTCCGCCTCGCACTCGGGCCGCGGGCTCGTGCCACCCCGGGCGCCCAGGCGCGGACCGGGCCTCTCCCCTCCGCCTCCGGCCGCTTCCGCCTCCCCGGGCGCTGAATCACCCCGCGCCCCCTCCCCCAGACAACCGCCCCTCCAGCTGCCGGCGCCCGCCCGGGCTGCGGTGGGCGGCGGGGGGCTACCAACTCTCCCTCCCCTCGTCAGAAGGGAGGCCCTCCTTCGCCCTCAACCGCCCGCCCGGAGCGCAGGCCGCGGCCCCCGAGCCCCCTCCTCGCTCTCCTGAGGTGATTCGCGGCCCCGCCCGGCCGGAGGAGGGGGCGCCCGGCCGACCCTGAGGGCGGAACCGAGCGAGGGAGGCGAGCCGGCTGGGTGGCGCGTGGCGCGCTCGCCCTGTTCCCCCAGCTCCGCACCCCCGACAGCGGCGGAGGAAACTGCGGCGGAGAAGAAGGAGGTGGCGTCGGGGACGGCTCCGCGGCGGCTGCTCTAATAGCATTTATCGGCCGCTGCCTCCCCTCTCGCCGCCGCCGCGGCATGTGGACGCCGCTCATTGGCCGAGAGGGCCCAGCGCGGCGCGGGCGGCGCGGCTCCGCCCCCTCCCGCTCCCTCCCTCCCTCCCTCCCTCCCGCGCGACTCGCGCCCTCGCGGCCGCGCAGGCCCCGCCCCCTCCCGCGCGCCGCCTCCAGGAACCCGGATCGAGGCCGGCGCGTCCCACGCCGCGCCCGCGTAGCGCTCGTGCGGCTGGAGGTTCGGCGGGCGCTGGGAGGGCGAGCCCCGGGTCCCTGTTCCGCTCGTGCAGTTCTCAATCCCCACCCACCCGCAGACGGCAAACCCGGGGGTGAAGGTCTCACGCTGGGCTCCCTGCGCTCGCCGTCCCTAGGGAACCGCCGGCCCTTTGGGGTCGGCCTCGGGCCGGGGCGGGTGGCTGGGAGGGCGAGGCCGAGGAGCCTGGGAACTGGGTCCGCGCGAGCCTCCCCGAAGCGCGCTCGGGCTCGTGTCCTTGGCTCGCCCCCTCGCCTTCCGCCTCCAGGCCGCTCTCTGCATCCTAATCTGTCTCCTTCAGAGCTCCCCTCAGGAGCCAAGGGGAGGAATTCCGCAGTTCACTTCCCACACGGCCAAAATCCCTCATCTGTTGCCTCGAGAACACCGCATCCCACACCCCCAGCCGAGCGCGCCACCGCATGCAAATATCAGCCCTTCCCCAGCGGGTTCTGTTCCCTGCCTGAGGAAATCCCACTGCGGGGGAGGAGGAGGGGTTTATTTTATTTTTAAGAGCCCACACAGCCTTTAATGCATGTCTCCATAGAAGTCACAGGTTATGCTACTGTAACTGCTAAGTAGCAGCGACAATTGTGCTAGAAGGTGCTTCACTTGGACGTTAAGATCAAGGCTATTTTCTAGATTCCCACTTTTCTCAATAGAAAAAGACTTTAATCAAAAACCTATTCTTGAGCCACACAGAATTTGCTTGTGAGGTCTGTACAAAACCTAGGTAACAGCAAGGTAAAGGGAATTTTGCCAATATAAAGAAATTAGACTACTTAACAGGGGAAGGGAACTTTGCGTTGAATTCATGAACAAAAGGTGAACGTATTCGCATCACAAAGAGCAGCATTCTTAAGGGAGTATGTCGCAGAATGACCATTTAGTCCACTTTTGTATTTGGCAACAGTGTACCATCCACATGAGCCAAAACAGAGCAAAAATCGCCTCAGTTGTCCCAGATGGTTCAGCCTCAGGACTTGAGATGCATTTCTTCAACAGATGCAAAGCACAGTGTATTACCCAGCTGAAAAAAATCAGGCACGTCATTTCTTTAATTATTTCCAAGGAGCGGAGGCAGGCTTGCAGGTTTGATTGATACTTGGAAAAGGACCAACAAAACCCTACACGAAACGAATTCTAGTGTATGGCAATGCACGAAGAGAAACAAGGTGGAAACTGGTTAGGTCACAAGATTAGAGCCTCTTCCAGGAGGGACACGTGGCTGCACGGTGGGGATCTGGTAATGGAAGGCTGGTGGTTCTTTTCTCTCTGAGACAGGTCTGCACCATTTCCAACCAAGTCTTCTGCCTCACCTCGTCTCTTTCAGCAATGATAGAAGCACTATGGGCAGAAGGATTGTTACCTTTCTCAGCATGGAAATTATCTTGGGCGTTTGGCTTTGGGTCTCTGTTCCATGGTGCGCTCTCTGCTGGGGGTTTTAAGCACCTCTGGTGTGATTATGAGCTTCTTGAGGACTTCCCTACCTCAGCTTTTGTACTGAGTGTCCTTCCCCACATCTTCGAGTGCCTAATTCCATTTTATCATTTAGATCTCAGCTTACGTGTCACCTCCTCGGAGATGTCTTGGTTGACTACTTAAAGTGGCTATCCTCCCAAGTCACCCTCGCTATAATGTTGTCTTATTTTCTTTACAGCACTTATCTCTGATACTGTATTTTTGTTTAGCTGTTTACTCCTTGTCTCCCGTTACTATGCTATAAGCTCCGTGAGAACAGGAGCTTGTCTAGCTTGTCCATCCTCAGGATGCAGAACAGTCCCTGTTATACACTTGTCATTTATTGAATGCCTACTGTTTGAGTGAATGAAAGAGTCCCAGGATCCCTCATCTATCAGGGACTTGGAAAGGGCCTCGCCATGGGAAAGCCTCAGCAAATTTTTGCTGAACTCAAGTTCACTGATTTGCAATTTGTGAAATAAACAGGAGGGCCTCTGAACTGTTGCTTCATGAGAATGGCTGTGAAGGTGAGTCAGATTTAAAACAAATAAACAAATACAAAGCTAGGCAGTATTATAGATTTCTCAGAGACGAGTACTGCGTAAGTTCTTTGGTACTGTTGCCACAGTGTCATCACTCTCCTAGACTGTTCTTTGCAAGTCTCCCATTTATTGGAGGTTGGAATACTCCTTAACCTGAGACAGTGTGATTTTTAGCCTGGAGTTGGCCCCTTCTACATCACATACCAATTATGCCCTTGGTTCCTCAACCTGTTGGTGTCTCTGAAAACTATTGTTTAAAGGTTGCCAAAATTTAGCATAAACACAACCTCCCAAAAGCAGAAAGATCTAGTCACTCTTATGTAAAAAGAAACTTATGCTCAATTTATTTTATGAAGTATACATGCTTCCTATTAACAAGGTTAAACAAAGTAAGAATGGCTTTTAGAAATACCCTATTTTTCACCAAGGATTGCAGCTACACTCAATCAGTTGAGGACAGGGAGAGGAAAAAGAAGAGAAACTGTGATTCAGAAAGATGGATGATTTGATCAAAGAACCACAAAGGAATTAATAAAGGAGGACATTAGCTGGTAATAAGCAGGCTAGTTTAAGAAGCTAGGCAGACAGAAAAGTCCCAATAGAAAAGAGTGACTTTTGAAAGAGGCCCCGGCCAACTTCCCAGCCCTCTACAGCCCTTCTGTAAAGCCATGGAGATTGCAAGAGGCAGTCTGTTCCATATTTGGACAGCTCTAATCATTAAAGTAGTCTCATTCTGGACTGAATCCACCTTCCACTAACTAACTTCTCCTATACATTGATTCTTGTTTTACCCTCTGGAACAACTTTGAATAAGTTTTATCCCTCCTCTGTGTGAGATCGCTTTGAGTATTTCAGGATATCTTATAAAAGTCTATTTTCTCAATGGAAAAGAACCGTTTAGTCCCTGGATGTTCCTCCTACAGCAGGAGTCTGCAACCCCTTGGCATCCTCATTGTCCAGTCCTGGAGACACCCAATAGTGAACACAAAAGTCTTGGCACAGTCTCACAGTGGAGTTATCACTGCCCACCTTGGTTGTGGATGCTTTCCCCCACGCATGGCTGATTGGTGTTAACAATCAACTCAAGTCTGAGGCCTGTATGTATAAACCATAGCCATGTTAAATCTTCCCATCGTGTACTTGCACTGTTGATTCTTTTTAACCCAATCACTGAACTCTGACTATGATGGGATGTTCTTATGTTCATTTTGGCCCATCTTTGCAGTCTGTTATGGTCTTTTGGAGTCTTCATCTTTAAGTGATGTTTTAGCTATATGCCTCCGCTTGGGTTACACACATATTTGATAAGCATGACTTATGACTTCTATGTCTTTATACAACAGAACTTCTAGACATTCATTCCAGATTAGAAAATAACCAATCAACTGGATTTAGTTGTTCAACTGCTATAAATCAACTTGACTACAGGTTCCAAAGTCAGGAAAGTGAAAGTCTTATAATGCATTCTCCTGCCTCCTTATCTCCCATAATACTTGATTATACAGCATTGGAACAGATCATTCTTTTAGTCGAGCACCTGATGTAGTCAGCTTGACTTAAGAATCATGTTAGGTGAAAAATACATATTTACATACTAGACTCAGAACTAGCACAGTAAGATTTTATATTGAGAGGCAGGTGGGCACTAAGTCCGTCCAACCTAGTCACATCTGCCATCTCTTACTGACTCTGAAATGATGGGTAGAATTGTCTGCACTATTTCAATTCTTTGTTTTTATTTATTTAATAGATATAATAATAATTTATTTAATATAAATAATTATTTAATATAAGTTGAATCATTTAAGGTGATTATGGGATGTCAGTCCACTGCATTATGATCTAGGCCACATTTCTCTACTTGTCCATGAGCACTTAACGAGAAGACTGTCAAACATGTTGCTAAGATCTAGGTACAATGTCTACAACAATCTCCAAGTCCACATTCTAGTGATCTTTTCATGGAAATGTGTCCAGTTTGGCATGGCTTGTGTTACTGAACACATGCCAGTGCTGAGTGACCACCACTTTTTCTACAAGTCCACAAACTACAGTAGTCCCCCCTTATCCATGGGGAATACATTCCAAGACCCCCAGTGGATGCCTGAAACCATGGATAGTACCAAACCCTATATATACTATGTTTTTTCCTATATATATATATATATACACACGATAAAGTTTAATTTAAAAATCAGGCACAGTAAGAGAGTCACAATAATTAATAATAAAATAGAACAAGTATAATATACTGTAATAAAAGTTATGTGAATGTCTCTCAAAATCTTATTGTACTGTACTCACCCTTCGTCTTGTGATGATGTGAGCTGATTCAATGCCTACATGATGAGATGAAGTGAGGTGAGTGTTGTAGGCGTTGCAACATAGCATTAGGCTCCTATTGACCCTCTGACGATATGCTCCAGGTGGGAAGAAGAGGGGTTGGCAGAGATCTCATCATGCTACTCAAAACAGTGCACAATTTGGGGCCGGCCCCGTGGCCGAGTAGTTGGCTTTGCGCGCTCTGCTTTAGCGGCCCGGGGTTTCACCCATTCGAATCCGCTCATCAGGGCATGCTGGGGTGGCATCCCACGTGTCACAACTGGAAGGACCCACAACTAAATATACACAACTATGTACTGGAGGGCTTTGGGGAGAAAAGGGAAAAATTAAAAAATAAAATCTAAAAAAACCCCCAAAACAAACAAAAAACATGCACAATTTAAAACTTGTGAATTG